TGACGCCCACGCCGCGCGTGCTGCTGTGTCGCTCCAGTGAGTCACCCCTGCGCCCCTCGGGGACCCCGGGGGTTTCGCCCCGTCTGTGCTGGGCATTGCACTGGGGGGTCTCACTTTTCTGTCCTTGTCTCTTTGCACCACCGACTTCTGTGGCGCGCCTCCTCCGTGGCCCAGGCTCGGTGCTGGTTGCTAGAAATACTATTTGCAAAAGCGTGGAATGCTTACCTGCAGGGGATCCCGGTCTAGCCAGGGGCAAACGCAAAGGGGGTGATAATGGCAGCCTCTGTGGGCTAAGGAAACAGGTGACCTGTGCGTACACTAAATCAGACGGTGCCCTGGAGAATCCAGGGAGGCGCCCCAAATAAATGTGCTAAGATGTCTAAGTAGGACCAGGTATGCTCTGCAAGACCAGGCCTCACGTTTTAGCAGGCGGGAATCTCAGAGGGAGGGCGGGGTGGGTGGGTGAATGGGAGGGAAGAGATCAACCAAACAACTTGTGTGCATAGATGCATAATCCTTGGACACAGACAATAGGGTGAGGAAGGCCTGGGGCAGAGGCTGGCTAGACAAGGGTCAATGGCGGGTGGGGGTAGGGAGAAGACATGTAATACTTTAAACAATAAAGATTAAAAGAAAGAAGAAAAAAAAGATGGAGAGACCCGTGGCCGGGATCTCTTTCTGGAGCAAGAATAGTTTTATAGAAACACACAGCTTAGCAGACCAGAGTGCTGCAGGCAGCTGCCTTCCCTTCCCCTGTGTGGGAATGGTTACCCTAAGACCCTAAGCCAGTTAGCACCACCCTGCATCCCGCTCCCTGGAGGCCACTGGGAGGAACTGGCATGGGCGGGGTAGGAGGGCTCTGCTGTGACTGCGTAGGTAACTGTTATTTGCTCCAGTTTCTTCAGTGCCCTCCCCCTGTTGACCAGTGACTCTGGTTTTTGTGCTTCAGACAGCATCGATGGCAGCAATGTGACAGTCACCCCCGGGCCGGGAGAGCAGACCGTTGATGTTGAACCGTAAGGAAAAGCCAATTCTTCTGTAGCACAGGAGCCTCAGCTGAGGAAAGGGAGGAGGAGCTTTGAGAAGTGGAGTTCATACGTCTGGGGTGGGAGTGGCCACTGAGGGAGAGGTTGTAGAAATTGTAGGATCCTGATTATTTCTCCGTAATTTCGTGTTTCAAGGCCTTTGCCAAAGACTAAGTGCATAGTAAATCCTGAAGCCCTGGATTCAGAGAACCTAGCGTCCCCATCTCTGGCTCCATGGGCCATTGGGGCTGTGGTCAGATGCTTCCACATCTCCAGTGACATTGATGCATCTCTCCATCTCTCTCTGGGTGCCCAGCTCTCTACGAGGCTTCTTCCAAATGTCCTTGCTTCCCCCATCCCCTCCCTAAGATCCTTGGCCAGCCCTCCCGATGGGCTTGTTGAGTCCTGGGTGGAAAGAAAGGATGGTTATTTGCATGGAGGAGCACAGAAAAGAGGCCCTGAGGTGGAGTGGGGAGTAGATTGAGTCGGGAATCAGAAAACCTGAGTTCCAGCCCCATTGTGCTACTTGATCTTAATCAAATTAACCTTTGTAGGCTTTAGTTAACTCATTCATTAAATGGGAATATTTTTCACTGCCTTGGTTATGTCACAGAACTTCGATAGTTTCAGATGAGATAGATGGTTTATGTGAAAGTGATAAAAAAGATTAAAAAAATGAAATCAGCACTTTGTATCTGTCCCATTTCTCCTGGTTGAATGGTATCCATATGCTCTTGGCAGCTGTTCCCTTGGAGTTAGCACCCTCCATCTCAGTCATAGAGAGAGATGAAGCCCAGCTGACTTCTCCCTGGCTTCCCACAGCATCGCCCCCCAATCTTAAAGCTGTCCCTCATCCCAGTGAAAAGGCCACGCCTGGAATCTAGGGTCACACTTAGGAAATGCCCCTGCATTCTTCTTGCAGAAGGAACTGGTTTCCTTCTTTTTCAAGTTCCTAACAGTTGCCCTTGGCCTCTAATTGAAGACCACACTGTTGTTTTTCTTGTCATTAAAGGCGCATCAACATTGGCTTGAGATTCCAAGCAGAGATCCCAGAACTGCAGGATGTCTCTGCCGTGGCCCAGGACACACACAAGGCCACATTGGTCTGGAAGCCCTGGCCAGAGCTGGAAAACCATGACTTCCAGCAAAGAGGTATAGTCGAACCTCGGTTCTCGAATGTCTCCCATCTCAAACAGTTCGGTGCTCGACCAAGATATTCCCCATAAAAATGTCTCCATTGTCGACCAAAACTTCAGTGTTTGACCTGACAGCCCTTTCATGCTGATACTTCAGCATAACAAAAAAGCATCCTTCAGGCAACAAACAAAGGAGAGAATGCTTTTGTTGCTGGTGAAATCACAATTTTAAAACATAAAGAGGCCATCAAGAATGCTAATGTTGCCCTAGCCAGTTTGGCCCAAAGGATAGAGCATCGGCCTGCTGGGACTGAAGGGTCCCGAGTGCGATTCCGGTCCAGGGCACATGCCTGCATTGCAGGCTCGATCCCCAGTAGGGGGCGTGCAGGAGGCAGCCAATCAATTATTCTCTTTCATCATTGATGTTTCTAGCTCCCTCTCACCTTCCTCTCTGAAATCAATAAAAATATATATTTTTTAAAAAGGAGTTGCTAAGGGTGGGAAAGTGTTCACAAAACAATCACAGGCAAGTGAATACGTAGAAAAACTGTTGTTGATTGAATAAAGGAAAAGCAGTTAGTTGGTGATAGCATTTCCAAGGCAATGATACATGAAAAATTTGTTTAAGGCTAGTAGGGGATGGTTCTATAAATTTAAGAAAAGACGTGTTTATTTATAAATTAAACAGTACATTAGATATGTACTGTCTATAAGAAAGGTTAAAGCGGAATCATTTGAGGGTCTGGAACATATTAATTCAATCAGCATTATTTCCAATGGGAAACGATGATTCGGTTTTCCAACACATCGGTTTTCGAACAGTCTTCCGGAAAGAATTATGTTCGAGAAACGATGTTCCACTATATTGTCATGTGGGAAGAAGTGAGCAGGAGGGCTTGATTCTCTCACAGGGTCTCTGGCTCCCGGACCTGTGTGTTTTCCATGGTCCTGAGCTCTCTGATGCAGTGGCCTCTTGTTCCCCACAGTGGAGAATCTCCTGAATTTGTGCTGTTCAAGTGCGTTGCCAGGCGGAGGGACCAATTCTGAATTTGCTTTGCACTGTCTCTTTGAGGCCAAAGGTGATGTGATGGTAAGGAGCCACAAAAAGTCATCTTCACAGTTCATATTCTTCATGCCAGGATTCTGAAAAGTATTTTCCCAAATTTCTGGGTTGTCTCATGTACCGTACAACTAATTCGTGAGATGATGTCCCGTCAGCGAACCTCCTGTTTCTTATCTCAGTAAGTCAGAATTTAAAAGCCTGAAGGAAAACCTCCCTTAACCAAAATGGAGTGTTTGCATATTCTCGCACCTTTGACACAGTTCTTTGGTCAAACCAGAACTTTGGTGCCATCTCTCCAGAATCAGAGCTGACCATTGGCCCGCTCAACCTGGACTCCAAGCGAGAGCATTCAAACACGAACCTGTTTCCTCTTCCATAAATACATCATTCTTGTACCAGATCTAGCTTCCTGCTGTTTGATTTCAAGAAAATCTGAAAGTAAGAAAATGCCCTAATGCTCCCTTCTCGTGAGGTTATTGATACCGTTCAGGGGTTTTTTAGAATGTTGGGAACTTTCCTTAACCCTTTCAGATTAGAATTGAGGAGCAGCACTTCTCGAACTTTTAACATGCACATGAGTCACTCAGGGAACCTGGTTAAAGTGCAGGTTTTTATTCCAAAGTTCTGGAGGTGGGGCCTTTGCCACCAGCTCCCAGCTATGCCCGTGTTGCTGGTGTGTGGACCACACTTGGAGTACCAGGACACTGGATCTTGCTCTGCCCATCAACCATCCACTGCTCAACTCCGCCTGCAGGGTTTCCCTTAAAAAGTCAGTGAGGCTAAAGGAGACAGATTTGAAAGGATGTATGTAGCTAGGTCCTCTGAGAGGACACTGTCTAGTACAGTTATCACTAATACAGCTCCTGATGTTTAGTTGTAATGAAATATGATTTTTCTGCAAAAACAGTTTCAAATCACCCACTCACTTCCTCAGACTCTATCCCCAGATACTCAGCCTCCATTTAGAGGGAGGCCCCACCATCTCTCTGAGACTGGGCCCTCACCAACAAGGGGGGTTGGGGTCTCAGGCCTGACCAGCTGGGGCTGGGGGATGGTTAGAGTGGCAAGCCCTGTGGGGTGCTGACCAGAAAGGAACTCCCAATTAGGGGGTCTCCCTCTGGTTTGCCTTCTAGTGCCCTCAACCCCACACTCTGCAGTGCCGGTCCCTTTGCCCCCGTAGGCAGATGGTCTCCTCGGGACACAGACCCATTACTGACTCTCGCCTTTTCTCTCCCACGGGTCCACAGGCTGCTCTGGAAACGCTGCTGCTGCGGAAGCCAGTCAGGTTAAAATGTCATCCTTTAGCCAGTTACCACTATGCCGGTAGGTCGCCCGCAGCCCCGCGCCCCCTGCTTCCTGCGAATGGGCTGTTTGCCTGTTTGGTTGTTGCCTTTTTAATGGTAGATAGCGTGGTTCAGTCCTCATCGGCGCTTTTGATCTCAAGGCTTCCTGAGGTAGCTGATGGGGCAGCCATGTGTGTTGGGCACTGCTGAGTGTTTGTCTGTCTGGGCTCCTCCCCTTGTGGGTGTGCCAGGAGCTGGGCAATAGCGGACCGCGCCTGCGCATGTGTCAGGGAGCCCTGTGTCATGTGGCAGGGAGCCCTGTGCGTCTGGGGAAAGGGGCATGTGGGATACAGCACAGAGGCAGCAACGCGCAGCAGCCCCTCTGCTCTGGAGTCAGTAGATGTGCGTTCAGATCTTACTTGCACCCTTGGCCTCTACAGCCTTCATTTTCTCTCCTGTAAAATGGGGCTTATGCTCCATCTCTTGCTGTGTTTTGTAAAGATTCAAGATAATATATATAGCCCGGATGCCTGGCATGTTCTAGAGGCAATTACTATTCATTTATCTAACAGTTATGTATTGAACACTTACTGTGTACAAGGACTATGCTAAGATGAAACAATGACTAAGACAGATGTAGTCAGTTTCCTACCTCATACAGTGTAGCGTCTGAGATGGAGGCAGTTATTAAACAACGGGTTGCACTGAGAGCAGGAGAAATGGTGCATAAACACATATGTAAACAAAACATATATACATACACGTGAGTGTGTCTCCTGAGGGTTAGATTACCGGTGGCATCACCAATAAGAGGGAGGGAGAAAGCACCTTTGAGTGTTGAATGGAGTGAGCATGATGAGAGAGAAAGAAACAGTTTGGGGAGTCTAAGAGATGGCACATCATTCAGCATTTTATTCCCATTAACTTGTAAACCCATCCATTCTGAGGGTCCCAACAAACCCGCCTGGGTTCTGTCTTTCAGAGGGGGCTGGACCCTCCAGTACCCCTTGATTATTAATCATTTGTTTGTTTCCTTGGTACCCTGGGCAGACCCTGCATAGGTAGGTGCTAAGTACATTAGTGGGTTTGGGGACCTCAGAATACCTTTTCCAGGCCTTGGTCCAGATGGCCAGGTAGGCCTGCGGTGAGGGCTGCTCTTCAAATACTGGAGCTCCCAGTGGGCATCCTGTCACCACCACCGTTTGCCTCACTTCACCTGCTCCTCTCATGCGTTGGCCTTCCTGCCTGTCATCTCAGGATAGAGAGGCCTCCGAAGCCGCTCATCTGAGCACAGCAAGCCCAGCACACAGGCCACCGCTGGAACTGGGCCAGGGACAAAATAGACACAAGGGATCAGAAAGCCATCACTGAACCAGTGGCCTACCCAGCAGTCTCTTAATATTGTCTCCATCATTTCCTGCTGGTGTCTGCCTGAGTGCAGGTAGGAAGATGTGGGCGCTCTCCCTAATCTGCCACTGAAACAGTGTAATCCTCTCCTAATTCCAAGTATCAGTCGCTGCCCATTAGACCCTGACAGGCTGTCCAGCCTCCTGGAGCCTCAGCTTCTTTGCATGGCAGGTGAGACGGTTGGTTGACGAGAAGGAGCTTCTGAGCCATCCGCTGGGAGAGGCAGCTGCTCTGGGCCCGCAGGTGCCTGGGATGGACGTGCCCCCAGGCTGGTCAGCTCCAGCTGTGAACAGCCTCACCTGAGACCCTCATCCCCTCCAGTTCTTCCCACTGTGCCAAGCAAACATTGTTATTTTTTATGTGTGACATGACATCAAAAAGGTTCGAAAGCTGGGCACTAGAAACCACCCTCTACCCCAAACGAAACAAAAATGCTAAGATAATACCAAGAACTTTGAAATGAGAGGGCCCTACACGCTGCTGAAATGAATCGATCTGTTGGGGTTCCCAGCTAACCTTTACCCAGCCCCTGCCCCAGCCCACAGCAGACCAGGAAGGACCCCGTTTCTTCCTGGAATCATTTCTCCCCTTGGAGGCAAGAGAGGTGGAGCTGCGGTGTGAAGGGCTGGTATCTTGCCAGCTGTGTGTCCCCGAGAAAAGAGTGCTCATCTACGTCCGCCAGTCCTTTGCCTTTTCCAAGAAGTGATCCAGACTGGACGCCAGAGAACCTTCTAGAATTATGAGCAAAAAGGGCAGAGGTCACTGGTCTGTAAAGTCTGACCTGACTCCATTCCCTTAACATTTCCCTTCCAAGCCACAGGGGAGGCCACAGGAGTTACCCCCTCACATGCCCAGCTCCCAGCCACTCCCTCCCTGCTCCCTCCTTATGTGGCTCCCGGTGCTGGTTAATCCCACCCCGGTGGCCCCCCTGCGTTGGCCTCTGGGCCAAGCCCCATTGGGCTGCTCTCCGGTGGGACTGTTGTCAGCTCCCTTCCTCACTGGGACACCGTCTCCTGGGTGTCCTTTGGCTTCTGTCTCTGTGGCTGTGGCCAGTGTCCCCCACCCTGACTCCCGTTCTCCCAGTTGTCCTGAGAGGTGGCTACGGCGGCTCCTAGGCTGCCTGTGCCCCGGATGGAAAGCAGAGAGTCCGCTCAGGGAGGGAGGGAGGCTGTACATTTGGGGGAGATAGACAGAGACACAAGCCTGTGGAAATCACTTCTCTTACTGTACTCATGGCCTTCCCTTTCCCACTCCAGCCCAAGAAATTCAGTAAGAAAA